TCTTCGGGTGGATGTCGGTTCCAAACAATTGGGAATAGCCGAAGGGGGTGGAGATCATCTTCGCCCTGTTTCGTTCACACTTTGCTTGCCGAAGGGAAAATCCTTACCTTGCGCGTGAACGCTAGTGGCAACGAGAAGGCAGACGAGCCAAATCAAGACGTGCGCTGCGGAACGCGCCGGCATCTTCTGTTGGCTATACGAGACGTTGACGACGGAGCCGACAACGTTTCGAAAGAGCAAGCGAGAAGGGAAGCAGGCAGGGGATGGACTCAAACGGAAAATGTTGTCACCGCACGAAAGCATGGTACAGGGCATGACAGAAGACACCCACCTGCATCCCAGGACATATGACAGCGTGTTCTGTCAATTGCTCTCTTTCCTACCGCGGTGGTTGAAGAAAAACAGATTCGGGGTACCGTCCATGCTCTTCAAAGACAGACGAAATGAAAGCAGCATATTTGCGACCACTATATAACATAGATATGCATTTAGGGCCTAAGTTGCGGCCGGTACATTGCAATCAAACAGTGAACTCGGAAAAATATGAAACGTACAGTGTCGTACATTGAGGCAACGACAAGGGCAAGAACTCTCGGCCCCGTACTAAAGCGTATGAACACGGGCCCGATTCCTTCGATAACCTATGTAGGGGGTTATTCTCGGCGATGCGGCCACTATTCGTCTATCGTGCGAATAGAAGCCCACTGAATGTAAAGTGCACCCACCTTTGTTGATGGCGATATGAGATTGTTTGGTGGTGCTCAAGTAGCCAGGATAGGAAAAGAACGGAGAGTGAGCGACTGGGGAAGAACACGACGGGGGCGATGCGCCCGTGTATTCCCGGGGAAACGCACACACGGGTAAACGCACTTCATGGACGGTACGAGTAAGAAGGTGCATACTTCCCAACCACTAGGAAGGATACCCAAGAAGATTGCAGTCCTCCCGAGGCGTGAATTCGGTCCATTGCCACGGAAACAATCAACCGAGGACCACTATTGCGGCAATATCCCGTCGCTGCTCATGTGTGAACCGTCACAAATACACTTTCTGCTTCCGCATGTACATAACAATGTGGAGGGGCAGGATAGCCCAAGCCGGAATTAATTCGTCTACGATTGTGACCGGCTTAACCCCGAAACTTCGTAGCGAAATCCGTGAAATCGGCGAATTGTTTCCTCCGGTCAGAGTTCCTCCGACGAAACGCACAGCAGTGCGGTGGAATCCCGACGGGCAAATCACTTGTTGAAAGACAAACAAACAGGAACAAGAGAGAGAGTTTTACTTCCTATAAAGAGAGAGAGAACCTTCCCATATATAAAGAAGAGCTGGGACTCTAATGAGTGCATTATTAACAGTCAACACAGAGATTTCATGTGGGTTTGGCAATACAACATCACCTGCCAAAAAGTTATGACTATTTTTCAACTCAGCCTTGCGTCCTCGCTGAGCTGCTTGGACACGTGTATGGTGCGTATGTGTGTCCTTCGTCTTGAGGCCCCGGGATGTAAGGTGTTGGACGCACACGGCCACCTTGTGGCGCCAACCGAAGGCGGGTTACACAGCAGTATCCACCTGACGACAGGGGGTATGAGGCACTGATTCAACTGATTGGCCAAGGTCAACATTCCAGCCCCATTACCCGAGAAATATGAGGAGGCATATCTTTCTCTCTTGTCTGTCTTGGGCCTTACAAGTGCTGGTTTAGCTGGGAAGTTTCCTACTGATACTGTAGAAGGACTGCTGTGTTCATGTCTTATGTGGAGCAGCAGCAGAAGTACTGTCGGCGGGATTTTTCACTGCACACTGCACACATCATATCTCAGGCGCGGATCTCAAGGCGGCACCACCTGTCTCTACATGTTGGTTGCTCGAATCACCGCCGGAGCTGCTCGCTGCACTTGGCTGCCGCTGGCCTGCTGTTGAGACAATGGCGTGCTTGCTTGTGTTGAAATGGCCGTGTACACAGATAGACGGGCACACGATGATGATTTTTTTTACATGTACTGCTTGCGCGCTGCAAAAAAACACCGAGAGTGGACGAAATGGGACAGTCGTTCACAGCGCAGACACATCTAGGTGGCCTCCTGCTCACTCTGCATCATCATCTGCAGCAACCCGCTTGTGAATCGACGTAGTGGTCGAAGGTGTTTCGCGAGAGAAAGGCCTAGCCTTGCTTCCTTTTTTATTGTACTGTATAGACAATAGACTTTTTCCAGGCGCCGCCACCAGTAAAAAATCGCCCCGAGTTCTCTTGACACTTGTATTCGGCGTGGTCGGCCAAAAATGTCATGACCTCATACTGCAGGCAACTTGCGTTTTCATGAACGAACGGAACGGCGACGCAAAAATTTCCCGGGCTCTCTTCGTCGCCTCCTGGGCGTCGTGAGTCGCGACGGCTGTCCTGTCCCCGTGTGCCTTTGTCATCTCCTTCTTCCTCGCCGATGACACATTCCCAGCTGCGGCCAACAACAAATTTCGCTCGGTGTTGGTGACCTTTCGCCTGGCCTGTTGGCTTTCCACTCCCCGGGTTGAGTCTCTACCTATTGACCCCAACAGACATTGCCACGGATTATTTCCTCATACATTTGGACTGTTGTCCCCCATCACACCGAATCGACCCAAATACATGCTTCATTAATTTTCCTTTGAACACAAGTCGACGCCAGGCACCATCAGACGAAATTTCACTGCCTCAGCGATAAATCATGACACCAGCTCGGAGTATGTACGACCACGACGGCAGCAGCAACCGAACAGGCCAGAGATCTTCTCTCCGCGAGAGTCACGACCTCCACCGCACTTTCACTAGCTACGAATCACAGCTTCCACCAGAACACCCACCACCAGAACCCCCCGAACCTCCGTCCCCAAATCCCCCACCCTCTAGTCCCCAAATCCCAAATCCGACACGTCCAAACCCCCCACCCCCATCATATATATGACCGCCCGTGTGGTACCCGCTGCCTCGAGTTGTACACAGCATTGTGATGGCAGGTTTGTGGGCCGGAGCGCGTTGGCCATTGGTTCGATGGGGTGGATTGATAGGGGCGGGGTAGTGTCCCGGCCTGGTTGTGCTGAGTCTAGGCGTGACGAGGGCGGGAGTTGCGGTGGTGCCACCGTCGGCGGTGCTTGACGATCGCTTGGTACAGCCTGAACCCATTCTGTGCATTTGGTTGCAACGTTGTAACAGGATAGACGAGTGGGTTCCTGCGGCTATTGGTGGTTGTTCCCGCTAGTATGCTGCAGGACGCGCGCCAAAGCTTCCGGTGGGCCTAGGCGCCATAGACTATGCATGCTTTAAGTATGAGCAACAAACTTGAAAATATATGAATTTGATTAAGACAGAAATATAGCGGGCGCCCACGTAGGCCCGCTGCTCCTACTGCTGTAGCATCGAGGCTCACAGCAGTTAGTTGCTGTTTGATCGCTTGATTAAGCCTCCTTAAACCGCGCATCGCTCACTTGGAGAGTGGGCAGGGCTGGGGATTCTGATCTTCCTGCAAAAACTACAGCACTGAATACCCCATGACGACTCCAAGTGTCTGTATCCACCGAAATATTACGTGGTATCCATGTACGCCATTACAGTAGCGCTCATGCAACGTTCTCAGATGCTCACACACATTGCTCCTTCTAACCAGGCCCAGCATTTGCACCGAAGACGCGCATTTCATTTCCACCATGTACACACGTGCAGATGCACCATATCTCCACTGCGGGAAACAGGCTCAACAAGGCAGCAGTGGCTGGTGGGCCAAAGTCCCGCGCCCGCCGGACCAACAAGCGAGTGAGTATCCCTAACCTAGCCTACAGTTTACACGTCCTCCAAGAATACGTGGCGGGGCTAGACTAAATACCTCTGTGGGCCAAAGTCCCGCGCCCGCCGGACCAACAAGCGAGTGAGTATCCCTAACCTAGCCTACAGTTTACACGTCCTCCAAGAATACGTGGCGGGGCTAGACTAAATACCTCTGTGGGCCAAAGTCCCGCGCCCGCCGGACCAACAAGCGAGTGAGTATCCCTAACCTAGCCTACAGTTTACACGTCCTCCAAGAATACGTGGCGGGGCTAGACTAAATACCTCTCTCTCTCTCTCTCTCTCTCTCTCTCTCTCTCTCTCTCTCTCTCTCTCTCTCTCTCTCTCTCTCTTTCTCTCTCTCCACACACACACATGTGCACACGGGTTTTTCGTGCATGCCGCAAACGTGGTGCTTGCTGTAATGTGGAGGCTACGTTGCTAAATAGTAGGCCCGACCAACAACTCCATGACAGCAATCCAAAGGGGGTTGAACGGACAGATGTCGAAAGTATCGCGCCTGCACGTCACAGCAAAAATGTATCCGATTCATGCTCTGCATGAGTATCAGGACCGACCTCATCAAGTCTGGAGCCCACACAGTCCTTACCCACCAGGGAAAATGTGTGCTGCGCCTTTGTCCACGTGCGAGAGGTGCAGTCTACAAGAGAGAGCATTTTTGTTCGGAAGGACGTGAACGGAAAACGAAACACCCCGAAGAAATTTCTCCCTACCCCGAGATTATTCGTTGCGCTGTTAGGGCGGGCAAGAAAGCGAAAAATGGGGCCGTTCGTTAGCCGTACTGACCGCGCTTTTGATCGTGGCCTTGAGTTAGTGGTTAGCTCTCCCCCTGCACGCTGCGGAGTTATGGCGAGTGTCGGTGTGTAATTGTTGCGTCACGGTCAGCCCAAGACTTCGCGAATGAAAGAAAGACATTTCAGATTGGAACTTACCGGCTACAGCAGTGTCCCTCCGGGTGCAGTGCGATGATTCGTGTACGAAAGTGTCACATGTCAAGGGTCTCGTGCAGCATTGGAGTACAGAGCGTGTGACGTGCGACCACACAACAAGCTAAAAAGAACGCGAGAACGGCCGTATGTACGCCACGGTTCGGAGGGCCGACGGCAGTCCTGGGATAAATAGTTGCTGCGGCTGACACAGCGCAACAGCAAAATGTATCTTCTTGTTCAGTCTCTCTTCTTCTCTTTTCATTCCTTTCATTCCACGAACAAAACACACTGTCGTGTCCACACCAGCTGGTCCACACTCGAACACAGGCTGTTCGTTCCTGGTTGATACTAACCATGCCATGTATCAGTGGCGAACCTCATCACCATCCCGTAGCCTACATCATCCGTAGCCTACATCATCCGTAGCCTACTACTCACTTAATTTGTTAAGCGAAGTGTGCACTCTACTCTTAAATAGATTCGCTTGGAAGGACTGAAAAACAAACTCACATGGTGTGACCCCATACACACATCCCTGCCGAAGTCATCTAGTTTCACACCAAATTTCACACACGTACTCAGCTGCACAAAAACCACCGTCAACACACGTTCACGTAGCACCATCCATCTACTACGTCGTTGGTACGCGAACAAGTGAAGCTCAATCACTCGGAAAAGACATTCGAGTCTGTCTGTACGTCCAACAGTATCAAGCACCCAGCATCGTTCTCGTTAGCGGCCGTCGTACAGGAAAATAAGAACGCCAAACCACCGATTTTGTGGGAATAGCGGGCAACAACCACGAGAAAGGCGGTAGCGCTACCCGTGCGTCCCATCACACAGGCCTCGAAACTCCTCACCATCTACATCTAGCACGTACGTGTTGTGTTCGTGTACATCCCCTCCCTTCGCCGATCCTTGACAAGGATTTAAACGTACTGAAGGAATGAAACACTACACGCACAGCAGTTACCAAGCTACCGACAAATATGAGGGCAGATCACACACAAGAAAGAACGAAACACGCACGAAAACTCTATGAAAAAAAAAAAAAACAGGAGAAAATGAAAACTAAAAACGCGCCACCTTTGTCCACGTACCACCGACGCAAGTGGCGGGGCTACCTCCCAGGTTCATGGACACCTAGCAGGACGCGTGGTCGAGGGCGGGGGTATCTCCATAGGTATATCTAGATACCCCCCGAGTCACTTTCCTCACTACTTCCCAGTAAAGGAATTGGACAACCAATCACATTCCTTCAAGACGCAAATATAGTAAGTAGCCCCGAGAATCCCAGTTAAAGAAATCTCAAGTAGCCCAGATAATCACAGTAAAGAAATTGACAACCAACCACCTTCTTCGAGAACATTCAATCAATTAAGCAGGTCGCGATCGTGATGCCCGCGGTTCAGGAACCTGATGCTTCCATGAACATTCCACAAATGGAATAATAGACACGCACGTGAACCCCCCCCCCCGTACACAATCCCTTAGAAACAAAATCACACGGTTTCTACGCGAGTACCGTAACGCCGCGAAGCAAACTGGGCCATGGCCGTGCCGTGCGTGTGCAAATCTACCATCGGATGGGTGCAAGAAACCATCCAATGAATACACAGTTAACAATCCCCGACCAGAGCTTCGATAGGTTATCGAGTCAATCGCTTCGCAGCTTGAGAAACTAACAAGCCACCGTCAACAGGGGCATGTCGCAACGCAGGTAAAAATTAACCAAATCTCGTTCATTCCAAGTCAAATCTTACCTCTGACACCGACGAACCAAAGATGTACACCTTGTGGGAAAACAAAACTGAAATAAATGAACCCGCAGCGACTACCTTAACTCGTTGTACACGTGTGTGCCAGCAACTAAAAAGTCAGCAATAAACAATACACGAGTGACCCTCCCCCTCCCGCCGTACAGTAACTCCCACTACCGTCACTCCATCAACGAAGAGTCTGCCAGCGCTGCCTCTGCCTTTGCCATCGCGGCCTTTGCCTCTACCTCAGCCCTAGCGGCTGCTTCCGCCGCCCACTGTGCCACCACCGGCGACAAGCTTGTGTCCTGTCCTCCCTTCATAGTGGTGGTCGCTTTCGGCGACACCGCCGCTACTGCTTGCACCCCCCGCTGATCGTGTCGCTGCTGCTGCTGCTGCTGTTGCTGCTGCTGCTGCTGCTGCTGTCGTGATTTTGCGCCCTCCACCAGTGTGGCTAGCTTCGCCTGCAGTTCCTGGCTCGCCCTCTCCGCCTCCGTCTGTGCCTCCTGCCGCAATTTCTTGGGCAGAAGAAGCTCTCGCTTCGCGTCCAGCCTCTCCTCCTCCGCTCTCGCCTCCGCGTTCGCGGCCCACATGGCCGCCACCGGGGACAGCGGCGCAGGGGATCCCCCCCCCACGGGCCCCCCCCGTCGAGGACGCTCCCCCCCCCCCCGCCCCGGAAGCACGCCTCCCCGTAGTGGGGGAAGAAGCGGGGGATAGTGGTGGCGTCAAGATCTCCGGAGATCTTGCCGTCGGAGATGATGCCGGCGACGACGACGCCGAGGAAGAGCGCGAGACGGCGGAGCAGGAGTGCACGGGGGAAAGCGGGTTCTGGTAGCGCTTGCGCTGCTGCTGCTGCTGCTGGTGGTGGTGTTGGGAGCCCGGTTTTCTCCTCGCCGTCGACGCTGGTACGGCGGCTCCCAGCGTGGTCGGGGGCAAGGGGAAGCGGTAGCCGTGGATCTTGCGCTGCAGGTCGAAAGCAGTGACCAGAGGCACGCGTACGTCCGGGAAGCGGGAGATGCCACGGAGAAGGGAATAGGCCGTCGTCAAGCCGGAGTTCTTTGCCTCCTGTGAATAGGTGTTGTGTTTCGGAAGGGGAAACGTTTGGCGCGCGAGGGTGGCAAGGGCGGTAGGGAGTAGAGGGAGACAAATACAAGAGCGTGGGGGGGGGAGGGGGAGCAAAGAAGAAGGACGACGAGGCAGAGTCAACAACGGTAGGGGCAACGCAAGGGGCGACAACAATGGGAAGAAAACGACGACAGGGGACCGGTAACAACAAAATGAGTAAATCGGCTGCATCGAGATCAAAAAGGACGCCCCTGAAAAAGGTGTGCATGCAAGGATGGTCTCGAACACGTTATGTCATGGACAAAGAATTATAACGTTGCCAGGACGATGAGGTGGAAGTAGTTAGAGGTGCCCAAGAACAGATCTCGTCTTGGCATGGCACTAACCCCCCCCCCCCGGGCGACAACGCGGAACCCCCCATCACCCCCCAGAAAAAAAAATCGAGGAGACGTCCACCAGCCGCGTGTGCTGAATGAACATTTTCTCTCGGGGCAATGGGAGACGGTTGGGGGGGCGGGGGGGGCACCTTTGCGCCAGTCCACGGGGAGATGGGCACCCCGTTGTCGAGGGTCAACCCGAAGCTGTAGACGTAGTTGTCCAGGAGGACGACCGTGTTCATGGGCCGGCCCAGCCGCCGCAGGTCCTTGACGCAGAGGTTGTGGTGACGGAGGCAGGAGTCGCGGTAGAACCTCTCGGCGAAGATGTCACCGGCCGGGTCGAGGAGATCGATGATCGCGTCGGCGTAGGACCTCCCCGAGGCGGTCCAGACCACGAGCTGCAGTTGATGAGGCGTCGCGGAACAGACGGGGAAGGCGGGGGTCAGCGAACGAGAACGAAGCAGGGGGGGGGGGAGGTCTAGACGAGATGGACGAGCGAGCCGGTGGGGATGTGAAGAAAAACGAAAAAAACGAAAAGACACTGTAGTTGGTGAGCGTGCGCAAGGAAGCAATCACAGAGCAAGCATTTGGTATTGCGTTTACGACACGAATGTGTGCATGTACGAGGATGCAAGCCCCAGCGCAACGCACCAGCATCCCCGTAAAAACAGAGGGAAAACACCCTCAACGGGGTCTAAACGATACACACACGCCAATATGTTCCGAAGGGCACCAGACCACCTGTCACTCAGCGAAAGAGATGTCGACACTTGGATGTTCAGCTCTTAACCATTTTCGTTTTGCCATCCTCGTGAATTGCCTGGTGCCCCCCTACTCCTTCCCCCCCGCTCAGGCAGAACCGCCTCCTCTCCCTTAACACACTAACGAGAGTATTTCACGTCGAGTTTTATAGCCAACGTGTGTAGATGCATTCTACTCTGGAAAGTGGAGCTGACCATGACAATTAACGACAACAAACTACCGATCGTAGAATCTGGGGAGGCATAAACAGACCACGTGCGGGGGCGTTGGGTACAGTATTGGCTCCGTGTATCAAGGCCCGTGAAGTCGTGCGTCACGCATGAAACATTGACACAAGAGTCTGAAGAAACTAGCAGGGCGGGTGAGGGTACACCATGCGTTTGTTGGTGACGCTCGGGTCTTTTTTGGAGTTGTCAAAGACAAGGTACAATCTGACTCATCTCGTTCCCCCCCGGGGCCCCACGCGAGGCTCAATAATTGGGCTTGATTCAACCTCATACATAGATGGCGAGAATGGCACACCGGTTGAGGAAAATTGGTTGGCTTTGGTTTTGACCTCAAACATGCGAGAATGAAACACTGGTTGAGGAAAATAAATGGCATTTCGTATGCTGACCTCATAGATGGCGGCAACCTTCTCGAGAAACCTGGCCAGGCCCGGTCGTAGCTGCACGTAGTAGACGATCTCCTGCACGATGTCGTCGTCTCCACCGTAGTACCCGCCTGCGTGCTGGATGCCATCGCTGTTGTTGGCATCGGGCGCGTCCGCGTTAGCCGCGAAGAAGGGCGTGTTCTCCTGGTTGTTGCTGGCCTTCTCTCGGCTGTGAATCTTGAACACGACCTGAAGGAAGTATATTATTCCACCGTAAGGCGGGAGAGATGGCACCGGTCGGCGAGATGGCGTACCGGGGTGCGCAAAGAAAATCAAGAGAGGCAAGAAAGATTTCATCGACGAACATACAAGTCGGCCGCCCACTTGCACAACGATTTTATGATGTACTACTGCGTACGTGCTGGTGTTCGTGGAGGAAGAGACAGAAACGAGAGCGTAAGACAACCCGATACCGTGTTTACCGGTGCCCCTTTCCACATCGTTTGTTGTCCTTGGCACACCATAGCCAAACTCGCATTCCAACCCATGGGCCACTCGCTGCATGGAACGCTGCTACGTACGAGCTCACGGTGCCGTTGCCCGTGTGCTCCCTCCCAGCCAACAACAACGGTACCTACGCCGCACACAGCTGCTTGTAGATAATAAGAGGCGGAGAGATGGTACCGGTCGGGGAGATGGCACCAGGGGCACATGCGTACAACACCGCCGAGCACCAGCAGGCCCCCGATGGGTGTTGTTCATCGCACATCAAACCGGTCGGAGAGATCGCACTGGGGCGCCTTGAAAAAACTAAATAAACGAAACGGTTCAATTGTTTTTCCGCACCGGGGTCGGAGCGATCGGACCGGGGTGCGAGAAACAATGGGGGGACGTTCAAAAAAAAAGAAAGCACCCGGTGCCATCTCTCCGCCTATTAAGGTAGGATTTTTTACGGGTGGACGCAACAACCCATGGAAAAGGTCAAGCAGCAACCTATGGAACAGGGTCATTTGGAACAGGGTCAAGGAAGGAACCACGAACAAGCTAACAATGTCACGGGCCACACGGGCAATGCGGTTGCTGCCGCGTACGCTACTGAATGTGCAGTTATATCTTTCCGTGTGCAAGCCATCGATCGTCGTCGCCATTTCGTGCACGTCCTCAAGCAAAGAATAAGAAGATTGCCAACAAACACAACAAAAAATAAAGAAAAAAATGAACACACAAATGCTATGTCCAAGGTTGTATGTAAGGCTGCCAAGGCTGCCCCCGGTCCCCCACCTCGCCCGCGCCACAGACCGCCGGCCGCGCCCCCTCAAGCTCCGTTTCGAGCGGGGACGCGCGGGGCTGACGACGACGACAAGCAACAAGACACCAACCACTCCTCCCCCTCAGCAACCAAGCAAAGCAAAGCCCACCTCGTTGTCGCACGACTACGGCAGGCGACACAAGTGCGGAATACCACCACTCCTCGCCCGGCCCCGCAACCAAGCCCGCACCTTGTAGTCGCAGTCGCAAGGCGTCCGGCTGCTCGAAACCAGCGTCTCGTCCAGGTCCAGCACCAGCGTCTTCTTGTGGCCCATAGGCACCAGCTTCTTCGAGCCGCCAAAGCCGCCGTCGTCGCTTCGGGCGACGCCGGGGGCGGGGGCCACGGCACCGAAGAGGCGTGGACGGGGGATGTGCGCCAGCAACGGCCGCACGCGGTTGTTGTAGGCCTTCGCGTCGGCGTCTATCTCGGCGAGGGACCTGATGAAAGCTTTCTCCAGGTCGGGAACTCCAACCTGGGGGGAGGGGGGGGCGTACCTCGTGTTATGTGATGCCTTATGTGGTTAGACCACACGTCCTCGAGAGGGGTGGTTGGCGAAAGAGTGCGGAGCAAAAGCCCGTGCGAACAGCTGTGGAATATACACACAACTCCCAAAGAGAGAAGACGGGACAGGATAGACGGCGACAATCTGGTACTTCGAGGCAAGGATTACCTCCCCCCCCCCCGCCGCACAAGGCAAACCAATAAAACCTTGCAAAGACTATAATCTTTGAAAGAATAGTTTCTATCTAACACTTTAACGTTCTCTTCGGCCCCCCTCCCCCCCCACGACAGCAAACACACATGACGCAACGTACGTTTTGCTTGCTTGGATCCTTTTCCTCTGTCTCCGCCCTCTGCCCGCGACCGCCGCCGGCGCTCTCCTCCTGGTCCTGGGTTTCGGCGGGGGACCCCCGGTGGTCCCCCAGGGGGGGAAAGGGGTGCTCGGCAGCCGGGCGAAGAGGGGCCCTTTCCCCCGGGGACATGTGGGGGGCGCCCACCCCCCCGAAGCTGCTGCCGGAGGGGGAACTAAACAA